TGGGAGCTTATAGTTTATTCTATAAATATTCTAGTGTGAGTTCGAAAAGTGAGTTACAGAATCGCAGGGCAGTAGTCTAAGAATTATATGTTTCTTAATTTTGCCACTCACCCACTAACTGACTGGCCGAACATCAAAACTCTAAGGCACTTCTAGCACACATAGAAGCTTCAATTTAGAATACATTTATTGTTACTAAACAACACTGCACTAGTATAAATTACGGTAAAACTAAAGCAATTTACCATGTCGGTCCAGTTTTCTATATACACCAACTGCATAAAAATTAAAACAAGTAATGTTAATACTATTACTAGTGAATTTTATTGTGAATAGTATATTATATTAAATTTAATATACGACAGATTTGAGAATAACCTCACCACTTTGAACTTCTGATCCTACCCGTATGGCTCTGTCTGTTACCTTAGGTCTCGTGGTACAAACAACCCATCTTATCTTAATATATATATTTCTTCTGTGCGTGTGTATGTGACTGAACTCCTCCTAAACGACTGGACCGATTTTGATGAAATTTTTTGTGTGTGTTCAAGGGGATCTGGGAATGGTTTAGATTCACAAATCAGCCCGGCAGATGGCACTGCAGTCGGTACTTTCATACTTTGCTTAATATCCTAATCGCTTTAAATATCATGCAGGACAACGTCTGTGGGGTCCACTAGTATATTTATATATTCACTATTTATGTGTTAGGCTACATCTCAACATCTCATTTGTTTAACAGTGTTATATAATGCAGTTTGCTAATACGTACACTACAAATACACTATACAGATACTCCTGACACATATTACATATATATATATATATATATATATATATATATATATAATTTAATAGGTTTTGATAGATTGAAAATCAAAGTCAAGGTTTAAATAATTAACACAGTGAAGCTTTAATTAGTTAAAACCTTACACAGTATTTCATAAATCACGTCAGAATTTCGCCGAAAAGGGATTGTGTGAAAACGCGCCGTCATGAACGGCGGCTATAAAAAGTTTGAAGTAGCAAGGTAGTTAAAGTTTACACCCACTTTACGAGAATATTAAGTTTTTATTGTGTTTAATTTTCATTTGGGCGTGTAATGTTTGCCTACTGGCGTGCGACTCCCCTGAGGTCGTAGATTCGATACCAATGCCTGCTTATTTTAAAACCGTACGATGAAGGAATACATCGCTAGAAAACCGGCATGCTTTAGAGCTGTATATGGGCACTGAAGATTATTATCTACTTGCTTATTAGAACAAGCAATTGATCAAGATACAGATACATAAATCTAAGGCCCAGACCTAAAAGGTTGTAGCTGGTTTTTGTTTGTTTTTCACTGGGGCAAGGCGCAGACACATCTACGTACATCAATTAATTGATTATTGAGGTACATAGGTTGATCAAACCTCTGCACCCCAAATGAAGTGTTATCTCGGAACCGTATATTCAGTAGATATATATAGTATAGATAGTAAAGATTTGGATAATGTATTACTATAATTGATAATTTGACGACTCATTGGTCTAGTGGTTATTACCCCTGACTGCGAATCCATTGGGTTCGACCCCGGCTGAGACAAACATCGATGTGATGAGCATTTGGTGTTGTGCTTAGGTCTTGGGTGTATAAATATGTATTTATATGTCTATCTATCTATAATATGTATGTATATCCGTTGCCTAGTACCCATAACACAAGCTTCACCAGCTTAGCATGGGACTAGGTCAATTGGTGTGAATTGCCTTTAAAAAAAAAAAAAATAATGCTGCTTCATTTTTCAGAATGTTATCGGTCCTTACCGGTATTATAAATTCGAAATATTAGATTTTAATAAATTTAAAAGGGCATTGAAGATACACATCAGAATGAGCCTAGAAGACTAAAAATAGGACTGCTGTCTGATGGCGATGTGCATCTCAGTGCACCGTATTGTAATATTAAGATTCTCATGTAAAAAAAATATCATTTTGTAATGAGAAATAAAGTTCTCCAACAGTTATTATACTATATTTAAGAGACTACACTACCAATAGTACACACAGACTGGAATCAGGAAGTAGGTAGTTTAGTTTAGTTTTAGTAGTAGTAGTTTTTTATATTCAAGTTTATTTTTCTAGCTCAGTACATCACCTTTGGAAGACTTGCGTTATACACTGTACCCTTTATTCTCGCAATGGTAATGGTGCGTATTATGTTTCCTCTTGAATGAAAACCGTATAAAAGTTAACATTCGCTGAAGTTAATGGAGTTGGTACAGTGTATTTGTGTGTACTAGACTGGATTATAAAGTGTATCTAATAAATGTGAAAGCGTTAAAAATTTATATTTAAAATGTACTTGGAACGAATATAAAAAGGACAGGCATTAACGAACCTACGAATATATATATAATATATATGTACTAGCGGACCCGCTAGACGTTGTTCTGCATGATATTTCATGCCGGGATGATTTGTAAACTAAAATAAACCACCCAGGGCGCTATCCAAACGCATACAAAAAATTCATTCAAATCGGTCCAGCCGCTTAAGAGGAATTCAGTGACACACACGTACAGTAGAAAATCCTACAGTAAATTTCACAAAAAAGAGTGCGACTTTACATGAATTGCAATCTAGCCTATACAATAATTATGGCTTATAAGTAATATTACGTTGAACTAATTTTCTACAATATTAGTGAATAGCTTAAACTAAGGTAATGTTCATTACATTGTATTTTTAACTAGTTGACTCGGCTAACGTTGTTTTGCTATATAATGATTACAGTACTAATATCGTTATTAAGAATCCAAAGTTTGGGGTAGAAAGATGAAATTATATGTTTATGGGAAACCTTATCAATTAGAGGTGTTAAAAAAATTTACAACCTACCGAATATATATAAAATATCATAAAAATCAGTGTAGCTGCCCTGCGATTCTGTAACTCACTTTTCGAACTCACACAGTGGTTTTCGCATCGGCGGTCGCTCTCAAATCAGTCGTGAAGCAGTCATTTTATGATCTGGCATTCTAAAAAGGTGGGAGTTACAGAATCGCAAGGCTGTTTTGAAGGAGTTGTGCCATGAGACGATTATACATATTTACAGCCATACAAAAATACATAAATATTTTTTATTTCGGTCTCTATGTTATATATTTTTAATATTTGAGTCAAAACTAGCAAAAATAAGAACAATTAAAAAATAAAATCGAATGAAAACGTTGCCATCTGTGTCAAAATTTAGAAGTGAAAAATAATTTATTCAATATTTAAAACATAATAACAGAAAGTATATTAGTTCTGTACATAAACATGTCGAAAATTTACATAAGTAGTACAAAGAATTTTAAATTAAAAATCTATAATTTTCCGAAAGGTAGCCGACATCGAAGTGCTTTCGTAAATATTTAATCAGGAACATTACGTTCACGCTAACTTACTGAGGCATAAAATCGATACAAATAGATACTTTGTACTATAATTCTTTTGACCGCCTTCATGGCATGGAGACTCCAAAATGTACCCTAAGCACTTTTACGACGAATAATGTTGCAGTTCTGACAGCTTTGACACGCTAATTTTCCATATAATATGTATAGTTCACGAATACTCTACTCAAACTATGCACGTTTGTGCTGAAAACACTTTAATATTTCCAATTTTTGGGGACCAACTCATTATAGTCTTACTCCACTTCTCTCAAGGTGTGCTCTGGGCATTGGTGAGGGCCCAAGTAAGGCCGTATTTCAAAACTAAAAGAATGCATGTGTCGTATAGTTTTTTCTTGATGGCTTTACTTATGTCTCTGTTTTTCACAATTTATTTTAGTGACCAATATTTTACCAATGCCACGCATTTGCTATTTTTGCTAATGTCGACTTTTTTTGAACTTAGATGTGTGAAGTAAATTATCTGGCCCAGGTATAAATATTCTTGGCAATATTCAATCTCATTTCGTTTAAGTCCAAGAAATACAATAGTTTGGGATTTTATACAATAAATAACTAAGCCATTAAGTATTATAAAATAAAATGCATATAATTTAATTATACGCGTTTTAATTAGATAAAAGTCTAATGTGCAATACTCGCGAATAAATAAGCAAAAAGACAATAGTACAATGAAAAGTGTAAAAAAACTTCTGTCCGAGAAAGCTGAGAAGAAACAGGGACTATATGTGCACTATAGCCCTCCCAAAGGTAAGTAATATTTTTCTTCAAAATATCTATACATTAATACTTAATTTCCATTCCAAAACCCACAAGTTTAGAACTAAGTCCAGATCCAGATTTTTATAATTTATCGTACAGTACTATTTTGCGTTATCTATTCGATTTAACGTGTTTTTCATGCTGAAGCTTCCTTCACTACAAGTTCTATACACGTGGTAAGCAAGTATGAACCCTCATAGTGTGCAAATTAGACTCAAAAGCTTAAGGGCTAGATTAGTCTTTATTGACCTAAATTAACTAAAAAACATAGTATAAAGTTAATATTTAGTTCGTATTAGTATATAGTACAAAATAAATGGGGAGTAAGGGGAGAACGGAACTAACCTCATGCCCGGCCCAAATGTGAACCTCATCTGCACGCACGACACTGCGTCGATACCACGTATCGTGGTGCTCCCTTCTAGATAACGGACAAGGCTCATGCGACCGGCCAGCGGCGGTATAACCACACACCTGATACGGCAAGGGATTGGTAGAGGCTACAGCGCCCGTGGGAGGAAATCCCTTAAATGTCTGGGGCAGAAGGCAACGGGAACCCACTGGTTAATATTATTACTAGTAGTCATAGTCATGAAAAACTCTAATAAAACCACAGCCCCGAGTCCCTTTGGTTAGACTGGGGTGCGAATAATTCCTATTCCTAGGTGTAATACAACTATGAGCATAGGATTATGAAATGTGAGAAGTCGAAAGCAAGACCTGATGGGGATCAGTGACACAAAATGGCCTGGCCAAATATCTACGTTACCTATTCGATTTTATATATAACGATTTGGTCTGTGACACATTTTTACTGACACAACCTCATGGCAAGAGGAATAGAATAGTGAAGCAAGAAAGTAAACTGTTGCCCGAGGTACAATAACTGCAAATGAGGAAGACAATTTAAAAGGTGGTTAGACCAGATGAAGGAAACAGCAGGTGGTGGCAGAGCATGCAGACAGAAATCTCGGCAGTTGGAGAAGGCCTTTATCAAAAAGGGCTCACAGACATCTAAAAAGGATTAGAAGATAGAAATATAAATGTATTTAAATGGAAAGTATCTGAAATAAATCTGGGGATAAGTGACACAAAATTGCCTAGCAAAATTTCTACATTACCAATTCGATTTTATGTATTGTTCGTGCTGAAGCTGTGAAGGAATTTATTTATTTTTTAAAGGGTGAGGTTGCGGATGGACTTTTATTGCGTGTCTGTAATTATAATGATTCAACGACCTCGTAAACCTTCGGACATCATACCTTTAATATTGCTACGCCCACGCGAATTCCCGCTATGGTAATACAGGGAATTCATTCATTATTTATTTAGCGACGAAATGTATCATAAAATGATATGAACTTCATGTATAAACTATGACATACCTATTCGATATAACAGAGGACACTATAACATCGGGCCTGCTATATACGTATATGTAATGGGGCAGGTGTTTGGGGCACTTGATTTTAACTGATACCAGTCATATAAACATACAATACCAAAAGGCTTACGAATGCATTGCCTTAAGAATTGTTACGCCCCTTGACATTAGTAAGCGCCTAATATGTATTCATGTATGTATAAAATACATGTACTTTTAAAATAAAAATATTAATTTATCAGTGTAATTGAATGTAGGGATATACCTAAATGAAGTTCGATTCATTCATAGTAATTTATAACAAACATAAACACTCACGTACAAATGTAATTAACAATCCTGTATTTGTTATCCTGTTATGGAAACCATCATAAATAATAACTGTATAAGATCGATACGGGTTGTAATAACCCGCACTTCGGTAAAACGTTAGAAAGTACGGCATAATCGTAAACACAAAGATGGCGCCAAAACACAATAAAAATTTAAAATATTGTTTGTAGTAAATAAAGAATTTCTTGACAATAATTATTACCTTCTTAAGTCCTTATTTAATTGAGAAAAGTTTTTTATTTGGAAACGAACCTAGGGCTAGTCTGCTATAGCCATTTAAAAAATACCGTCAAGACCAGGTTAGGATAATTTGGTAGAAATTTATTTAATTTCAAAGTGGTACGATACAAGATTCTTTCTGCCAAAATAACAATTATTTTAATTTTAAATTATTCTTTTCAATACAGTAAAAATAACCTCACTTAAACAAAGTATTAAATGGCAAATAAATAATTTCATAGAAAGCTTCCATGGTTTAACTGGATTATCTTGCGAAAATTGAAGCCTAAATAAAATGTTGAAGACACACAAAGATTTTATGCGCCCAACGAATCGTTATATTTTACTTAATTTAAGAAAACCGATTATACATTATCCCTGAACACTATCTCTAGAGATACGGTGGATCAAACGGTTTTGACCTAGATCCAATCGGTAGTATTGGAGTTTATTGCGGGCGAGTGACTTTATTTTATTAATATAACGTTTTGTTCGATGATACAATAGTACAACCACATGGCAAGAAGAACAGACAAGTGGAGCAAGAAAGTATTTAACTGGTGCCCAAGGTACAACAAACGTAAAAGAGGAAGACAATTTAGAAGGCAGATAGATTAAGGAAGCAGCAGGTGGTACATGACAGACAGACACAGTTCAGACGGAAATGGCAAGATTTAGAGGAGGCCATTGCCAAAAGAGGGCACACAGATATCTAGAAAGTATGAGATGATTTAAATGTAAAATATCTTTTACTATTATTATTATTACACATGTATATAGTGACTGCGACTTGTAATAGTCCAGGAATATATTAATAATTAATGAACGTTGAACATGCTAATTATTAAATTGCAATCAAAGCATTACTTGCTATGGTCATGACCTTTGCATGACGTAACATGGAAATCAGTTTTTTAGACTATTATGAACGGTCAAGCTTCATAATATTTAGATTTATGGCTGTTTAGATTACATAATATACGTAGTTGGGACCCGTCTTGGCCTGTGGCCGTCTATCAAACGACTGTGATTAGCATTAAATAACCATACTTATTATTTGTAAAGCTTAAACTAAAACTACTACTTTTGGATTATACGTATAATTCTATTAATGATTATTTGCGAGAAATATTATAATTAATATTCATTGAAAACGTAATAATATATTTTAATAATGTGATATGTTCTATAAATAATGTAAGAATTGACTATAATTATATGACTCATAATATATGTAACTTCTATATAAAACTCCTTTTAAGATAAATTTGCACGCCATTGTTTGTGACAGAATATGCGAACTTTAGATTGTACCACCGTAACATTTGTGTGCCATATTTTTACAAATTATTATTATTATTATTATAAACATATATATTTATATAGCTACGACTACATTATAATCAAATTCGATTTGTAAGCCGACGAACAAAGTACAACGTATAAAATATTATTTGTGTCCGATGTAATGATGTTGAAGAATACAGAACACAAATGTGTGATGTGATATAATGTCTGACAGAACACAGAACACAAATCACATACTCGTATATACTTTGCAAATTAATCCAAGAGATGTAGTAAGTAGTGTCAAATTATTATTAACCTATCATTTATTTATTTTTAATTAATTATTAAAGTTAACCACATCATATATAATGCATTTTCTACAATATATGTTACGTTATGTATTATATATTTTTGTTCACCATAATTGTTATATATTCTAAAATGACAAATATGGTGAACATAAACGTTACAAAAAAAAATACAAAAAAATTACACTGCCTGTTTTAGTTTTTACTAGTAATTTTTTGCTTAACAATGCAGATAAGGTAGCAGATAGGCAATTAACAATGCTTTTTTAAAATTGATTAGCCACTACCGAATAATTTTACACAAATTTATTTGATGTACCTATCTAGGTGCAAGCAGAAATTTTATTAATTTGTTTTTAATGTTACGGCATATTACAATTGAAAAGTTCGATGACCAACAATAAAATAGATACTAGTCTACCACCCTACGACCTATAACTACGCCTATTGCCTACAAAGCATTGAATTATTAAATGCTCTTACAAAGTAACGTAGATAGCTAGGATATACTCAATTCGATATCAAAGCCTTTGAATTCTGGGTCAATCAATATTTATTTCTAACGCTCGTAAAGTTTATTTTAATTAGGCTTACATTTTATTGGAAGTTCATGATCCTGAGAGAATCTAAAACGAAACAGTGCATTTATTTGTAATTGGACAAATGGAATTACGTATCGTGTTCCACTAGAGATTCTGTTGACCAAGCAAAATCAACGGAACGCGCCCTTTTTCTCCCTTTCCCTCCCTTTTTTTTGTCTTCCATTTTATATTTTAGTTAAAAATAAAATGCCATGCACTGACTATTGCCATCTCTAAAAATACATTCTGTACATTTTTTCAAAACAAAACTTGACTTATCCAGCTTAACCATATATGTCGAAAAAATAATATGTGTTCTAAAAACGTCAACCATTTGCTTGTCACATTGCAAACACGTAGATTACACCGTTGATAATTCGAATCAAAGAAACACTGTAGGGTTGAGGAATTTACATAAATATTCACTCAAATAAGAAATCAGACCTATTAACATGCTACGCAGTTATGTAATTGCTTTTGGCGCAAATTTTGACAGCGTTTAACACGGTATTAAAAAAGCAAATTATGTTATATTAGTACAAAAAATATTATATAGATTCCTGTTAGATAGTAGTGACCGCACAGCTGCCCTGCGATTCTACAACTCACTTTTCGAACTCACACTGCGGTTTTCGCAGCGGCGGTCGCGCTCAAATCAGTCGTGAAGCAGTCATTTTACGATTTGGCATTCTGATAAGGTCCCTCCTTGTAGTTTATTGTTTATCAGAATGCAAATCGTAAAATGACTGCTTCACGACTATTTGGGCTGCGACCGCCGCTGCGAAAACCGCTGTGTGAGTTCGAAAAGTTAGTTACAGACGCGGGCTGCACTGTTATTCGATTAGTTTTTTTCTATTTATCAATTATTATTATTACTATTATATTAGGTGAAAAATATTGTAAATACTGTACATTTGTGTGTTGGAAATAAAGTTAATGCATTTTATAATATGTAAGACTAAAAAGAGAGATAAGGTAAGGTTTCGTTATTTAGTTCGTCATTTATGTTTATCAAAACAGAAGCGAGAGATTTGCCTCAGAATTTTAGGATAATAATGAGTTATTATTCTAAATTTTAAGTGACAATTACCTTTTAATAGTATATTTTTAAATTCAAATAGTCAAATTATAGGCTTTTAATTTGATTCTGAGAAATTAATCGCTACAATTGACACCATAACCTTTAAGGTCAAGCAGTGTCGCGATAGTCTAAACCAACCATTAAATTATAAATCGTGTAATCAAAGTTCATGTAATCTGGCTAGTACATGCTATTTTCTTATGGGGTGTTTAATAATGTTAATTATAATACTGTATTAATGATTTGGTAATTAAAGTGATTAACACGCACGAAATCTCTAGTTACTATGTAATTTAATACTTATAAGGTAATCTAAATAATTGTATACCTACTGTTAATAATTTAAAAATAGTTATCTCAATCTTGTTTTCGCAGCAATCAAAAACATTCGTTGTTTCTTTATACATTCACACATCTTATTCACGATATAAAGAATTGATTTGAGACAATATGTACAAGGAGCAATGCCCCGCGATTTCACCCGCGTTAAATAAATCGCAGTGTGATATTATAAAGCCCATGGCTAACCACTGTTCCTATCCAAAACAAAAAAAAATTCAACTGAATCTAGTAGAGAAAGTAAGCACGCTCAATCAAACAAAAACACTTTTCAACAAAAACACATCTTTTCTCATGTTACTAGACTAGGGATTCTGTAGCCAATCCCGGCAAAACAATATTTATTACCTAACCTGCTTTAAAAAAGAATCAAATAGACACAGGAATGGGTTTGCTCCATACCACATTGAGGCTTTACGAGGCTTGTTTAGAGAAGTGCGTTGTCTTATCAAACTGTGCAACAGGGACACTTCAGTCTATGACTGATAAAGTTTCTTCATTGATAAATCGATTATTAAACACACAACGGAAATAACTAATATTTTCTTTTAAAAAGCACTCCGTAGGTAATCGGTAAATCAGTGCTCATATCGGATTGGAGTCAAGGCGTGTCTAAGTTACAACTGTGACTTTTCTAGTACTGTACTTTCAAAGATATTGCTTAGTGCAGTTTAAACTGAGCACACGTTTGGATTGTTGAATACGATTTTCACCTTTTCATTATGAATATATAGGCATTCGGTAAGTGCTTAAATACACCTAAAATAAAACAAATTTCAGCTTCTTCCAAATATTAGTGCTTTTGTTCAGTGTAGTTATCATAGATTTTTAAATTTGGTTATTTTTGGAGAATACCCAATATCTACATTATTTTTGAGACTTTTTGGCCGTGGGGTTCAAGTGCACAGGCTGGTGCTTTCCTGGCTCAACGAGTAAGTATCGCTATACAGAGAGAAAATGCTGCCAGCGTTAAAGGTACACTGCCACATGGACCAAACTTTTTAAATTTGTTTCGATTTTCTTTTTAATAATTTTTATGATTACTTTGGAGGTTAAGTAAATTGTAAATACTGTATACTTGATTTTAATCAATAAATGTCAATTGTCAATTATGAAAGATAATAGTGTTTATATTGGAAAGCTACGTAATGTTCTACTACTCCTGGATGGGGCAGAGGCCCTCGATAGTCAGCTTCATCGCGTTCGGTCTTAGCATTTTACCTCGCTCCAAGTCTTTAGGACCTCTTTATGACGACTGCACGACGCCAGATTTGCTTGGAACGGCCACGCTTTCGCTTTTCCTGTGGATTCCAAACAAAATAATTAAACTAAATATCCCATAAATATTATCTGCTTTATAGCAAATAATTCATGTATGCAGAAAAACTACAAAAAAGTATTAGTAGAGTAAAGATTTTAGTATTGGTTCGCGTTAATTTACTGAGGATGAACCATTTTTAATTTCCAGCTCTAGGAGCTATACCAGCATCAGACCTTCGTCAGTGGGTGCGAGCAGGGCAAGAAGGCAAGCTGGAACGAGCCGTGCTCAACGGTCAGGGGCGGCGCCTTTTATCAGAAGCGGAAAATTTGCCTTTATCAAGATACCTTATTAATTTGATAAATAAATGTGAAACTCTGCACGCTGCTGTTGAGACAGGATCGCTGCTTGATTTACAGGTAAGTATTTTATTATAATTATAAATTTTACCAGCCTAAATATAGTTTAAAAAATCACTTAAAAACAGATATTTTCGAGTTCATAATATTAGAACCGTACAAAGCAAAATGATATCTACTTTGTTTAAATTGACATAATAAAATACGCATAAATATTTTTGGATTTGGTATTAATCAGTGTAACATAAATTTTACTCTTCCATCCTCCAAAAAGCTTCCACATTGTTACGATAATTTAAAATCGATTTGCGCCTTTTTAATGTCAAATAAAGCACCAAAGTTGTTTTTACCACCTTATAGGAACTACTGGAATCTGACTACAATCGCAACAAGTTATCATCTTGCTGTGATGACGCGGGTGTCGGTCTATTGCATAAAGCTGTGTACTACAACTACACGGATATTGTAGAGTATCTCGTGAAATATTATCCACATTTGGTCCACCAGAAGGATTCCGTAAGTTAATAATTTATAAGTGGTGACTCGCTACGTCGTACATTGCTACGGCGTAGAATGCTATGTCGTAGAATGCTACGTCGTAGACATCAGAGATTAATATCGTCACGTAAAGTGATTCAAGGTGTTGTAACTTGATTGTCGACTTATTATTTAAGGTTAATTTAATTATTTATATAATATATATATATATATGAATGGCAGGCTATCTGTTTGATCGATTGCTTCAAGAAAAGAGCGTATTAATTCTTAAAAGGCCGGCAATGCACTTGCGAGCCCTCTGGTAATGTGAGTTTCTATAGGCAGTATCACTTTATATCAGATGACCGTCCTGCCCATTTGCCCATTGTTATATTTAAAAAAAACTAATCGATGACTATTTTTACCGATTACCTTTATACGACTGTAGGATGGTGTAGGGGTTGACGATCTGATCCATCCCATATCTAATCCTTTATCCCTCCTATGAGAGAAAAACTTACCTCTGTTTAACTTTATAGTACCTTCAAGTAGGGTCAGTCTCGTTTGTAACAAAGTTCTCAGGACCAAAGTAAACGCATTAAATAAAAGCCTCAGCCAGGGACGTAGACTATAATATAGATATGTAGGAAGGTCGGATAGCCCTTCACTACACGGCAGCGTGTCGTGATGAGGCGCAATTGTCCGCACTACTCCTGGGCGCGGGGGCGGCGAGGGGCGCGCGGGACGCAGCCGGGCATACGTTGGCCCACTATCGTACTGCTCGCACTCAGCTCACGCTGCCCGTTGCTGTCGACATGCCGACGCTACCCGGTAAGTCCCAAACTACCAAAATATTTATAATAAATTTTTAGTGCAACTAGATGTAGTTTTTGAACTTTGAAGAGATGTTTAAACTTAAATTTAAATTTACACTGATAATTAGTTCAAAGTTGTTGAGTTGTTTGTACATAAGTGTGTATGTCTTGTCAATATACAGCGATGTAAAAACGAGGATGAAGATATAAATAAATAATTAAAATATATACTTAGTTTAGGTTTTAATTGAATACCATTGTTACCGATTTTATTATACAAGTTAATTAATATGAAACTTTTAAATGAATTAATAGTTAATTTGTAAATGAAAGTTTTTGTGTAGTTGTGGAAAAATTTTACGAGATTTATTTGTTTCACTGAATACCTTTTTTAGAATGGTAATCGGACTCCTATCATCCAAACAGCAACGATCTAAGTTTTGTATTGTTGAGAATATGCGAGACCAACTATCCTATCTTAAAATATATAATGATTATAACATACCTCCACAAAATTCAATTGTTATTTAATTTTAATAAGGCAGTGAAAAACACGGAATACTAATCTGTTTATCATTTTCATCATTAGGTACACCAAGTATGTGTATCCGGGACACATAGTTAACAAACAGTTAAACAAACCTCCGTCTTCAGTAAAGTTCTATAGAAGAATGGTTTACTATTAATTCGAGCCTATTATAGTAATTACAATTACAAAATAATATTAAAAAAAACAGTTCCTAATTATAATTTGATATTATTTATACATCAATATTTCTGTCCAACTTAATTCCTAATCATAAACAATTATTTGGAAATGTATCCAAAAATAAAATATGACGCAAGAAACTTTATCACCACTTAGTTGCGTGTGACACAAAGTGACCAGTTATATAAGCTTCCTTTACAACCTGCCAATTAAGGGCCTATATTATTTTAATGCCCTATTGTTATCCCATATTTCTAAGTATAATATACGTATATATCTACTCGTAGATTGTATAGATCGCTTGCCCCGGGAACAAAGTCGTAAAGGTAAAATCTTTTTTTTTTCAAGAAAAATAAATGAAATGCAATGCATACTAGGACACTAAGTAATTAGATATTCAAGTATATATATCGAATGACAGCTAATTTCTGGACGATTAAAACGTTGTTCTTATGTATTTAGTGTAATTTAAAGTAATTTATCTAATTAGACTGAAGATCTTACGATTGTTTCAAACATAATTACGGACGATACAGTAATCGCACATTACGACGGCACATTTTGACGAATGTCTAGGACGTAATAATATATTACCACTCTTTTTGCGGAAATATTATGACGTTAGTGAAATAGAGATTATTAACACTCTTAATTTGTTTTTAAACTGTCACATTAACTTTTATGATTTGGTAGAATTACAATCAAAACTAAAACTATCTTTTCGGTTGTTGTTATCTATTTCAGGAAAGTAAAATTAGGTATATGAGTATAACTAACATTGTGCACAAAATAATTTCCGTAGAACAAAGACACTATTGGACTTTGAAAATTATGACCTAAGCCTACTAAACAAATACCTTCAATTAAAACTTCTTTAATAAACGAGAATGGATATAAACGAGAATTTATTACTAGACAGAGAGAGTTGTGTTTAGCTGACGATTGCTTCAAAGCACTCGACACATCGAATTATTTAATTACGTAACAAATAGTAACTAACTTGTTCGGAGATGCGCCACTCACATTGCGCACACGTAGTTTCGATAAACATATTTAGACACTGGCAGAATTCACATGAATCGTAATGTCCATTATTTGTTTTGATATAGTACATACATTGTGTAAATTATGCTTATATTAATTTGTAGCATCGTTTCTATCAAATTGATGTTAAGTTGCTGTAGTAGTAAAAAAATAATATAAATATGTGTTACGTAAGTTAAAGAAATTGTATTCGCGCAACAATAAAAGAGTGCACATATTTGTGCACTATAATCTCGCCTACGTAAGTGGCCGGTCAGGATCTTAGCCACCGTCGACCGTAGACAAATTGGTGTCAAAAAGTAATTGTTACAATAAAATAATTTATAATAATAATATATAATATCTATACATACTTCTTACTGATTTTTTAAGTAGGCGATTAAGAAGAAATCTCATTGAAACCTATAAATTCCTTACTTGAATGTTCCGGGAATTGAGAAACTTTTTATTTTAAGTGAAACCACACTTTTGAGGGGTAGCTCTTTATAACTGAAGACCACTCAATATAATACAAATTCCCTAAAGAACTTACTCCCAAACTGAATAGCTGACTGGAATAGGCTTCAGGAAAATGGAATTAACACACATTAAACTCTTTTAAAAATAGGTTGGATAATTAACCAAATCCGCAGTGTTTATCTCGAAATAATAATAATATATATATTCTCAAAATTCACTACCGTTTCTAGATACAAGCACTACTACGGGATGTCATGCATATTACTAGATACATATAAACAGATATAATATTTTGAAAATAGCTATGTTACTCAGGGATAAAAATCTAAATTTGTGGAAGAATTTACGAAATAGTGCCAGTCGTTTTTAAGTTAATTCCTTACAAACATACAAATCTTTTCTCTTTATATTTGTTAATATTAATTCATATTTTGTGATCTATCAGAAGAATTGTGATTCGTTAACAATTTAATACACTGTTTTTCGATATTGAAGCGTCCGTCAAATTGCGATATGATGTTTTAAGAAATCACATTAACCTTACAGCTGTTAGGTGTTATAACCCCAAAACGTTCGACGTGTAGACAAATAAAAGGCTTGGCTACAAGGTGGGGTGAAATCGCGTGGTCATGTACATTTTTACACCAGCCCCACCTTATTTGGGCCATTCTTTCATACCTAATTACTTAAAACCACAAAATATTAGACATGTTATTTAATTACTTATTTAATGCGATAACTTTATCATGAAATCACTTCAGAGTGTTTCAGTGTTATGGTAATCTTCAACGTTTTTGAATACACGCAAACTTGTTGCTTCTACCAAGTAACTTTTGATTCGGCTTAATATTGTCTTGAACGACGAAATTTATACATTGGGTCACGGCAATGTTTTAAACCCTGTTAGCCGTCTATGACTTAAACTTTAATAATTTTCCTGCACCTGGGTTCACACAGGAAGAGGATATATTACGACAAATACGTCAGGAATAAGCAAAGGAGGCTTTAAATCAACCGATTCTGTGCTATTTTTAATAGATGAGTGGTTTTCGATATGAATGAAACAAAGATCATCTTCTAGGATAATTGTATGCTAATCTGTTTTCGCAGTAAGAAGCAACTCCATCCTAATAATAATCTTGGAAATTAGTAAATATGTATATTAATTACCAATTGTTTAGAAATCGAATTTTTAATATTTTTGTATTTCTTTATACCTATGCATATTTAAATGGATTTTGTTATTTTATTGCATATATAAAATTCAAAAAAATCAAAATTCAAAATCATTTATCATTCTAGGTAACACAATGTACTTTGATCGTCAATAAAGAAATACAAATAAATGCTTCTAGTTTTACATTTACTGCCAGTTCTGAAATCAAGGGCGTAGAACGGACGAGAAGAACTGGAAATAAACTCTCCGACACTCTTTTTAATCGCCAAGTTTTTTGTTTTACAAAATGTTACGCCATGTACACGATGATATGCTAACTATTCCCCGTTGCCCAATAAAGAAATAAACTCATCTGAAAAGTAAGCTAAGCTAATACGGTAGATTTCCAATGGATCGATAAAGCATTACTGCCGGAATTAGTCACTGAACTTTATTGTAGTGACGGACGTAATTATAATTGACATGTCCTACATACACATGGATCGATGTTTGTATGTCATTAAACATTAATAAATGTATTTCATTAAACCTTGAAAGTTTCTTCTTATTGTGTCTTATAAATTTTAATTCTCATGAAGCATATTTGTTGTGTCATTTTTGTGTTCGCTCGAATTAAAATGGTTTTACAAAATTAATATTTTTAATATGTCGTTTCTTGCTGATGTTTTAAAATAAAATCTTATAAATTTTGATACGCATGTCTGTTCCGTGTAAGCGATATGGAATGTATCTTCTTATCTTACCCGCATGAGGGTATCTGTTACTCCTATAAATGTTATGGTAATAAATATAAAACTTTACAGTCGTATAACATACAGGACAACATTGGACGATTTTTTTGTTTCCCACTTGGAAACAGACTGGAAAAGACAGTAGTCACCTTTACTATGCTTTTATCCATCGCAAAGTAACCTGAAAATAATTTTTATTGTTAGTTCAATCGTTCCTTATTCATGATTTAAAAACGTTGCTTTCGTGATTTTTGTTATCAAAAACTTTTAAAAATTACGTATATCAGCGCTTTTAAATAAAACTTTAACCATTCTTAGTAAACCATTATCAGTCCCATTTCCATTTTAGACCCAACCACAACCCATTTACGCACCAGCCAATAACTCCCATGTCTCCTATCGACAGCCGATTTGCCTTGAACTTTTATATCGATTCCATTTTCTAGAAAAATTCTTTACAATTGGTCATACGATGTTTAATGTTTAACTTCACGTGACTCATAGATTTTTGTACCATTATTATTATTTGCTATGTAAACACATTTAAATATCAATACAAGGTGTATTATTTATTTTGTTTATAAGTAAATAAAATGAAACGAAATTTTTAAACAATTATATTATAAAAAAGCCACTCAAACCTCGAATCATTTTATTCTAAATTAAACTAATTTTTTAATAAATGTATATTTATAATTGCTTAGAAAATCTAATATTAATTAATAATTTATTTATTTTCTTGTATTGTTTTCACTTATTTCTTAGATAGATACATTATCTTCAAATTTAATTCTAAAAAAAGTTCCATGATTACAGGTATGGTAATAAAGCGGCATAACATTCGAATATGGTGTCACGAATGCGACATGGGGCGCCTCCAGCGCGTGATATGGGAGGGCCAGGGCTCCAGGCTTCTGAGCGAAGTATCAAGCCAGCCAATTGTAAAGAAGTTCTTGGAAACCGTGCCATATATGATGGTAATACCTTAAACCTACAAAAATGTACAAGTTAGTAAACATAGGCTGTTGAAACAGAGAAAATATCTATTACTATACTTATATTGTTTACAATATGGACATATAAATAATTGTATACATCTATACTGCAATAATTATAATATTACATTTTTCCTCCAACTATTATATTGAAGTGAAACTAAAATGCTACTTATTGATTATTATTTATTAAGTACATTAATATATAAGATTGTGATAAGATATTTTTAACATAATCGAGTCATTTACTAGATTTAAAAGTGAGGTGCCTAATTAAATATTTATTGAAAAAGTTACTTTTATTTTCTATTTACAGAATACAATTAAGGATATACACAATGCAGTGATTCAAAACGATTTGGAGAATGTTATTAGATTAACAAGTAGCCCTGTACCGCCGCAGATTTTATCTAGCAAGGACCCAAATAATATGACTGTATTTCATAAAGTATGTTTATTATGGACTTTGTATACATTAATGAGTAATTAATAGTTCTATACAAAATTAAAAAAACTCCAATGTATTGTTGGCCAGCCAAGTTATGCGCCGTGACTTGTATTGCTACATTGAATGAACTTTTGACACCCATTACATGACTAAAGAGGCTGTCAAATGCGCTTTCCTTATAAAATTTATTTACAATATTCCTTAGAAAGAAAGCAATGTAAGTACATGTAATTAAATATTTTAGGCAGCTGGATTAGGACACTGCGGTATTTTAAATTACATAGTCGAAAGATATCCACAAGGTATAAATGAAATAGATAATGAAGGTCGCACACCTTTACACTACGCTGCTATTGTGAAAGATGATAAACACACATTCAAAACAATGATTGGTTTTGGCGCAGATGAAGGGGCTGTTGATAATGTGAGTAACACTGTTACAGCACCGTATCAACATAATTCTAATAATATAAACGATTAATATTTTTTTCAGAGAAATAAAACCCCTGCTTATTACTTGAATAGACCTCAGGAGATAGACAAACGCAATCTAAAGGTTTTACCTGAAGCACCTAGAACACCATCAAGTGCTTACCCAGCGTCATGGGATTGGAAAATCTTAGATACGGACTACACAGCTGAACTGAATAAGAAACCTAGAAGAAAGAACTTCAAAACTTCATCAGAAAACATTTCTTCTAAAAATACTCTTTCAGAAAGTACGGAAAATTTAAATAACATGAAAAATAGTAGCACTCATGAAATGATAAACAGTTTACCAGAATTAAATGATAAACATGAAACCATTGAAGAAGAAAAAATTAATAACATAACTGAAAATATTGTTTTACAAGAAAATGAACAGGTAAGCATTGCATGTATCGTAATCATAATTAAATTCATTTGCAATGCTTCATAACCATCTGCATGATTATTTTTTCCGTTGTAGGTTTCTGAAAACGTTGACCACGAAGCATGTTTTGTAGAAAATCAAGACTACAAAGAAAATACTAGTGGTGATAATAAGATCGAAGACACTTTGAAAGAAACGAGTAACGGTGGATCACGACCGAATAGTCAAAATGGTCTGGATCGCCAAAATGAACATACTAATTTAGAACAACCAGAGGAAGAAGAAAATTTAGAAAATAATATTGAACAAGTTAACGATTTGAATACCGCTATAACTAAATCAGACCCTGTATTTAACAGCGAGGTTTTAAATCGAGAATCAACTCCACTTCCAGTACTGCCAGCCTCACCAATATTTAAAAGTACTGATAATGCTGATACTGATGACCAAATCAACCAAGAAGATAACAATGAAGATGAATCTTGTACACAACTAGATATAATAGAAAATAAAAATCCTGAAAACATGCCTGAAAGTACTCATTCTCAGGAAGGTAATGTTGAAAAGCATGATGATGACCATATATCAAAAAACGATATAGAAGGTAATCAACCAAATGACAGTTTTGAGGATATTAATGTTGTCCAAAAGGAAGTAGAACCTGATAAACTTCTAAATTCAAATGAAGCTACTGTTAATGAGATCCAAAATAAAATGGAATACGATCATTCTGATGAAGAGGTTACGACTGTTTCGGATCATGAAGGTAATACAAAAGTTGATACCATTGAAGATGATGACGATGTACAAGTGCAGGATAACACACAAACAGAACACAATGACACATATTTTCAAAAGGAACTACACAAAAATGGGAGTGTGATCAGGAGTGACAGAGTTCCTTCTGGCACCTCACATAAAATCTAAACATATTTTTTCTTAGAATTAATAACAAAGGGTCCCTACTTGTTTATTATTTTTGTTTTACAACTTAAGGAAACAACGGACGTAATAGTCAAGAAAGTCTCATAGAGGGTATTGTGAGTAGCGAAGCTGAAAAAGACTCGCAAGATGCAAGTGTAATAAAAGGAAATTCTGTACACGGCGACCTTCTCGTTATTGTGAGTATAATACTATTTATTAGGATATAGAGCAGTTGAAAGGTAACAACCAAATAATAATGTGTTGTTTACAAAAGCATCATTGTAGCACAATTGTAGTCACAACACCCTATAATTTGCGAGCTTCTTAGAATGTACTGTTTCAAACGTAGAATGCGACTGCCTTATGTCTGTGATATACCGTTTATGGACTTAGTTATTTCAGTGTACTTTATTTAACAGGATAATCAAATAGACCCAGAAGTAACTGAATTAATAAACACAGTCAATTTGGAAATGTTAGCGACATTAGTACTGAACGGAGAAGGATCAAGACTTATCGGCAGATATTCAGATAATTTAGAACTGCAAGCGTTTTTGGAAAATGTACCATCTTATATGGTAAGAATGCATGAATTTATAAATAAAACTTAATAAATGCATGCAATCGTAAATTTGTTACAAGAGCCATCATCGAGAGATTTTTTTTACACAAAAGTGATACTGCAGTTTAGAGTGTGACAAACTGCTATTGATAAATTATACTTGTGTTCAGTATTAATCAGGATCTAAAAAATAATCATTTGTTCTAGCACAAAATTAATAAAGTACACTTAGCAGCTAAAGAAGGAAATATAAGAGAACTTCAAGCGGCACTAGACAGACGGAAATTTGCCATAGCTCGTGATCCGATTTCGGCAAATGGAGCCACACCCCTACATGTAGCCACTGTATTCGGGAAAACAAATATTATTAAATATTTAGGAGGAAGGTAAGCTATAAACTAGTTTGTACGAATCGATAAACATGTCCATAATTTAATATAAGTAATTATGTTTGTGTTTAAGATTTCCTGAAACGTTATCGGCAGTGGATTTTGAAGGACGCACAGCCTTACACTACGCAGCTGTCTTACCAGATAATGGCCATTACTATAACCTATTACAACAACTTGGTTCAAATTCTAAGGACTTAGATGATGTAAGATTTTATACTATATAAAACTTTTAAAATTATTTCTAACAAAATTTATTCGTCATTTACGATATCTACTACAGAATGGAAGATCCGCGGATGATTACTACAGGAACCCAAGCTTATTACCATTTAGTCAGCTTTTAAGTGATTTTGGTATAAGTGACGACGAGATCAAAGAAATGTTCTCAGATCAAGGTATGTTTTTTTATTAATAATATATTATGAAGTCATAATTTTTACCTCATTTTTATTTATATCTTTTATTCTTTTCTATTATATCGTGGGTAGTGCCAGATGATCGTGTCTCAAGTCGACGAAATCTGGACATGCCGGAAGTTCTAGAGACATTAGATCGATGTTACCATCTTCTGACATCAGCTAAATCAACACGTACGCCATTGTCAGCTTCATCCAATAAGGCAACACCACCACTGGTCCTTGGAAGATTCTTAAAGAAATCAATATTTGAATCAATTAAACATCGCATTACAAAACTTGACCATGATCTGTTTGATGTTATTTGGCCAGCTGTTAAAAAAATTCCAGAAACTCGTAATGTAATACAAACAGTTGAGGAAGATTTTCCCGGTGGTGTAACAGCACCGGATTATTATGTCTATGATGTGTTTAATGAATTTTTGACACCATTAATTAAGGATCTACATAATATAAATATCTCGTATGAACTTCCTTTTCATCCACCATCCGACTTTATTAAAAATTCATCAGTACTACTAACTGCAGCATGTGAACCGTTAGTTGAACTAAACGTCGATGCACACGATGAATTTGTCCTTTCTGGAAATATAGAGTGTTCAAGAAATGTCGAGGGATTTGAATTACCTCTAAATATTAAAATTGGCAAACTAGAAAGCATTGAAAGGATTATAACCACGATACTGATGAACACAGAGTTTTCAAAAGTAATTGAACAATTAAGTTCTGAATCTGATCAAAAAGGTGGTAGTTATTATACCCTAAACGAAGTCTTGGAAAAACCATCCGAAATCTGTGCTCTTTTAGCAGCATCAGGGCTGCTAATTGCTCTTTGCGAACGTGAAGAAATTGATGACTTTAATCGCTTACACGGCAAACATTGGCCTTATGGACGTGGAGTGTATCTAAGTGACGATAAACACGTCGCTGTGTGGATTAATGTTCACGACCATATCAGAGTTGTAGTTTCCACCCCTACAGATACCCCAGGGGAAATAGGTCTAGCTTTTAGCAAGTTATCCTATATCATGAAATATCTTCACGATAAACTAGACTTCGTTTGGCATGAGAAACTTGGCCATTTATCTAGTCGACCAACATTTTTAGGTGCGGGAATTCGATTAAGTCTTATTATAAACTTTCCTGGTTTATCGAGAGACGCTGATAATATAAAACATTTATGCGCAATGAGGGGTTTACAATACCGGGAGACTCTGAGCACTGGAATAGCTAGAATCAGCAACTACCAATGTTTGAGTGTTACTGAAACAGTCTGTTTTAATGATTTCGCTACAGCGACATCAAATCTCCTTCATCTCGAAAGAGATTTATCATTACAAAATTCAGCTCAAATTGCGACGATGCTTAGCAATATATTTAGAAGGAAAAGAAGTAGTCTTGCAGATATAGATATAGATGAAAAACATTAATTTTAAATGCAGCATATTTTAGAGTAGCATGGCCCCATAAATTAAAAGTTAGTTTATAGTTATTACTTTTGGAAAGGCACAGGTGTATTGAAGTATTATGCATGGAGGTCTACATAGCTTAGGTCAGTACTACATATTAAATATTTACCATTGTGAGTGGCGTGTTTCTGAACACTTCAGGACGACGTGTTTGCTAAACGATCACGCTTTTACACGAAGTAGTATATAGATTAAACAAAGCTCAACGCACTCACTATAGCACAGGACACCTTTGTCTTTCCAATCGAGCTTTGCTTTAGTAAGTACAAACGAATGAACGGCAAATGCGAAGGCGACAAAATATCAAAGGTTAATGTTTTATTTTATATAAATACCCATTTAAAAAACTTCATAAAAGCCTATATTAAATTGGTTCTGAACTTCCGCTATTCGATTTTCCTCAGTGACGTTTCATGAATAAAAACACCTGCCAACGGCATTATTACGCCGAAGGTCACGTTGAATAATTGATCAATTTACAGGCATTAACCACGCGAGCTACGGCCAGTTGGACATTCCCATCTTTCAAACAGAAGAAGGCAGATACCTCGCAAAGTGTAAGAGTTTATAAATAATATGGAGAGCCCTCATGCTTTTGATAAAAGGGAAGTTGACGTGGAAACTGTGTTTTCAGCTCTCGGCGATCCTTTGATAAAAGGTCTGACCGAAGTGGCTAATGTTAAGCCGAAGGATCCGATCGCGTTTCTCGCTACTTTTTTGCATAATTTCCCCGATCACGAAAAGCCTCAATTAGGTACTCAGGTACGTTAATAGTTAATCGTTTAGCAAATGCATTTGTTATTGTGTTAACTGTGAAACGATTATGTACTCGCCACTATAAGTAGTTACTTACTTGTTTGTTTTAAATAATTTACAGCTCCATTCTCGATCGATTGAAATGAAATATGCATAAAGTAACTGAATATTTTTGAGGTCACAAAAGTTAATTTTAAATCAAGTTATATTTCAATATTCTACCGTACCTTTTCATAAACGGAGAGATCATTTATGCTTATATGCTTGATAATCAGAGTCTTAATTCGACAATTTTTGTTCAAATGGATTTCAACCGAACAATTAGACTCGGGGTCTTATTGTTTGGTTAATTGTAACTAAGCTCTTTTACAAAAGAGACTTCAACTATCAGGAAGTTGTGATCACATTGGTGTGCATCTTCACTTTCCTGTGACACTTGTCCAATTTTTTTTAAATTATAAAGTTCACAAAAAAGAGTGTGACTTTACATGAATAGCCGCCAATACAATAATTATGGCTAATAAGTAATATTATGTTGACTTAATTTTCTGCAATACTAATAAATAGCTTAAACTAAGGTAATGTTCATTAACAGTCTTGTTCTATAATGATTAGATACTATGTTCGTGTGTCCGAGATACCGCACTTGCACTTATATTCTATACAGTAGGTTTTTTAACACAAAAGGTTTAGGTTTAAAGACATTTATTCTCATAACAGACAATAGTCACTTACATGAGAACTTATATACTAAAGATACAATTTATCACATTATTAGCGAAGTAGAACTTGGGTGGACTTTCATTTACGCAGATAACTGGGATCACTCAAGAGATGGTCTTTTAGTCTAAATTTTAATATTGCCAGGCTGTCTGCACTTTTTATATTTTGTGGAAGTCTATCAGCTCACACGCAGCACTCCCCCAACGCTCAATGTTTTTTTACCGTAATTGGTTATAAACTTAGGTACAATAAGATTGTGAGGTTTAGTTCTCTTTAGGCGTTTTATTCCGGTTGTATCAAAAAAATTATTGCCTCAGCATTCACATGGCTATGAAGCCTGATTAAGTGAGCTAAGCAACCCATTTCGCCGTATTTAGGACTGTATCCACATTAAGATCCTTGTGGATACTTTCATTTTTAATATACCGTGGTGCATGGTACTTGGCCAATAGAAACGATATCTTAAACTTTTTATAACACTTTTGTTTTAGGAAAACACGTTGATAACAAACGAGCCTCCTGAGTATGAGAACCAAACAGCACCAGATGAATTAAAAAAACCATATAGTAGTATTCAAAGCGCAAGAAACCGACCTACTGGGCCCATTGAAGTTATAACAGTTGATCCTCAACTGGCAGCCAGTCCCGATGCACCGGAAGTGGCTCCAAGTAGTGCTGAGAGAGTAGGTTTATTGTAAAGGATAGGCCAATATTTGAGTTAACACATTTTATATTTAGGGACTAATTTAAGGAAATAATGTAATGTTATATTCATTTGTGTATTGCTAGGATGAACACGGCCAATCAATGCTGCACTTTGCAGCTGCGCGAACGCATACAAACAATGCTTTATTTCAACTATTACAAGAGACTGATGTGAGTATTGGCTACCGAGATGAGTTGTATAGGACGGCAAGAGATATATCTATACAGGCTAATGTTTTGGAAAATACTGGGGAAATTGATCGCTTCGTACTACACTTGGCTGCTAGAGGTAAAATATTTTACAAACTATAGTTAAGGTATTTGTTTAAAGTTACATTCAACTATTATTAATTTTGAATAATAAAACTATGTTTTGGTGTAGCAGACAAAATGTAGTAATAGTTAAGTAAAATAAAAATAAATCAGTGGACCTCTTTAGGTCTGGGCCTCAGAATTAGAATCTGTTTCATGATCATTTTTCAATCTAATAGTCAAGGAGATGATCAGCCTATTGTGCCGGTTTCCTCACGATGTTTTCCTTTACCAATCGAGCGAATGTTAAATGCGCACACAGAGAGAAAGTCCATTGGTGCACAACCGGGGATCGAACTTACGACCTCAGGAATGACATTCGCACGCTGAAGCCACCAGGCTAACACTGCTCCGTTATTATTATACTAATAATGCTACTGATACAAATAGAAAACAACGTTAAAATTGTTATTTGTTTTCTATTAATCAGTTAACGCAGCGTTGGTTTGGTTCAAATTCTAAAAAAACAAAAACCAGTTACATATAAAAGAGGAAAAATACGAAATACTTTGTTTATAATGAAGAATGATCCGTCAAACTGTATCTTTCAGCCCAAAACAAAATATACTGCGAATCATGAAGGAATAAAGTCTTGTCCCAAAGCTGTTTACATTTCTAACCTTAAATTGTTCCTCAGGAAACACTGATAAAATAATGGAGCTGCTCCTCCAAGGATATGACCACATATTGGACGTGGTGGATGAAGAAGGAGTTCCCATAAATGAGGTGATCTCCCAACGGGGTGACAGTGAAATGTCCAGTTTAATGGCTTCAATACCTACGTTTGAGGTAGGTAATTTACTCCAGACAAGCAAACAAATCTACGAACACTATAGTATATTTAAAGGAAAACCAATGAGGCAAATGTTTTAAGAATCTATTTCAAACTATAAGAAACTAAACCATAGAGCATAACGTGGAAAACCCTAATTGAAAGTGTGTGCTGAAGTACCTACATAGATACAGATAGTGTCAATTTAAATTTACATTTGATAGGCAGTTCGGGCAAAGCATAAAACAGTATTATACTCGGTAATAAATAATATATATATATATATATATATATATATTAGATACAACAATAGTTTAAATTACTGTGCCATCATTAAGGAGCAACAAAAACAATTCTTCTACTTCTCCATCTCTTTAAGCGGTAGTCATCTCGAGCGGCCTCTTAAGCGGAATACTTCTTAAAAGAATATAAAAGCTAATTTATTAATTACAATAATTGACGTTTCAAGTGCTTTTGCACTTCGAGATGACATAAAAAAACGAGTTCAGCATTACACAACGTACAGACCCGAGCTATAACGCATGTTCGGCTCTGTACATCGAGAGCAAACAACGTATACGAGAGAATGTAGAGGTATTTGCTACCGCGGCTCTTAAATGAACTACCCAGTCAGTTGTTAGATAGCCTAACGTTAACCAACATAAAAATTAAGTTGAAAAACTACTTTTATATGCATTTATCGAATGGTTACATTTATACCAACCACAGCGGCTTTCTAATGTAACATAATATTATGATTTTATTCTGTAAAAAAAATAAAGTAAAATAAAAGAATATTGTCAGGGAGACACTATATCTGGTAAAAAGTTTTATTAGAATATGTAGTAATTACCTATTCATTTTATTAAAAATTCAAAAGGAGTCCCGAGAACGTCTCCACGTTGCTGTAAGACGCGGGGATTTATCAGAAGTACGTGAAATACTCTCAGCGGAAGGCGGAAAGACACTTGCGCGTGCGCAGAATTCGTACGGCAGGACACCGTTACATGTGGCTGTGTTAGCGCAGAATGAGGAAATCGTTGAATACTTGGCGGAAATTTTCCCAGGGCTTTTGAAAATTGGAGATAATGTAAGTTGTTTTAGAACGACTTCTTCAGGTATAGTTCTGACCTTCGTGCAACCTGTCTATTATTCGATTCTTAGCGAAATATAACGTACAATAGACGCAAAAATATGTCTGTTTTATACCCTAGAGCGGTGTTTCCCAATCTTTTTACCGTCTTTCAGAAAATTTCTTATGTAGTATTCACTTATATAGAGGGGGGGTTTTATGTAACATACATATTAAATATTAAATTGTTCACTTTAAAAAACTTAAATGATAGGTTTTAGGAAGAAATCACTAGGACATCGTTAACGAAACAGTAAGTAAATTTTCAAAGGGTATAATGAAAAACGTCTAGTCCATTTTCGAATTGCCCCCATTATCAATCAAATTTACCCCCTGAGGGTCGTGGGACTCATGTTGGGAAACACTGCCCTAGAGGGTTAGGCCGTTTCTCCACTGCTCCGGTTCGGCAAACGTTAATTACCGATCCGATAACTTGCTAGATCGGAACGCGGTGTTTTATCGGTCCAAGTATATCCAAGTATCCAAGAGGTTATAAATTATTATTCATAGATTTAATTTGAAAGAATCTGGATAACCTGGACCAAACCAAATTATGTTGCTATTTATTTATATTTTTATACCATAGTATTAGTGAACTATTTATTAAATAAATTATAATATTTTATTTAAGATAGACAATATAAAAATGTAATAAACTTGCCAGGGCAATAACATATTCAGAATTGAGAACGTTTTATTAATAAAATAAAGTATATATATGGGTTTTTGCGACGGGGTGACTTATTTTTACTGAACGATTATTGTCGGATAGTGGAGAAGCGCAATCCGGCCTTCCGTAATTTTTTTCATGACTCATTCCGGTATCCGACGCCGTACTGGAGCAGTGGAGAAAGGGCCTTAAGGTACTCAACAACAACAATCAGATGTAGTGGTATCGAAACTCATGACGTGACCCAGATGCTGAGTTATTAGCGGCCAATATTTCAAAGAAAAGGATGATAAGGAATTTGCCGATTAAAAAATACAACAAATTCTCTAAACTTCTCCGTTTAGCACAACGTATTAAATATTTAATAATATTAATTAATGTTTTTACATATTATAATATTATTGTAAATTCAACATACTCCATATCTCTATATATATATATAAAATTCTCGTGTCACAATGTTCGTTCCCATACTCCTCTGAAACAGATCGACCAATTCTTATGAAATTTTATATTCATATTCAGTAAGTCTGAGAATCGGCTACTATCTACCTTCAACCCCTAAGTGACAAGGGGCGTCCACACTTTTTGTTTTTACACCAAAAACTTTTTGTTTTTTTTATGATACAACATACAAAAATACATAAAACCCTTAATTTTCACCCTTCTACGATCAACCCCTATTTTTTTATTATAGTAGATAGTTATTTTTATTGAACTAATAAAAATATGTTTCCTGGAAATAATATACTAATATAAAACAACATTTGTCGGGTCAGCTAGTATTTTTAGATTAACCTCATTCTCTACTAACAATTATTGTCGAAATCCACTGAAGACTTTATTTAATTGAAACATATTCTTGTATTTTTATAGTTAGAACGCACACCATTACATTACGCGATGGGTGTAGAAAAAATGGAATCACTCAGTCGAATATTAACAAGAGCCGGGGCCAAACGCGTACTAAAGGACCTAAAGGGACGGCAACCTACCTACTACTACATGAACAAATCTGACATACTGAGGCTTAAGGAAGAGGAAGAAATGTATTAAAAAAAACAGAGAAAGCTTACAATTTAACATTATGTAGTACACACGCGAATGAGTTCTATCGAAGTTTTTAGTGATGTGACAATTTCTGTGATATGTTGAAATTGGAATTACCATTTAATTTCATGGTAACCTTGCTGGTGATTTGATCTGGTGACCTTTTGGAACTAAAGCATTTTTTCCTAGTGAGGAATAATTATTACTCGTTAACATGTATAACTGTGTCCATGACTACTTATCTAACAGGAAAATTTATCAATAAAACAGACACAAAAATATGCCTGCTTTTGCTTGTAATTTGGTAACAAACTTCGCCGTTACGTGGTTTCGAGTTAAAAAAGACCAAACAACTAAAAATTTATATAAAAATATGCTTTACTGAAATATCTTTGTAAAAAATATTCTATTCAACATACATACAATATAATATAATTCGTATGCACTTATAAAGTAGACCCACAGGAACAAACGAAAATTGTTTATTGTAGTAAAAACATTTAGTATTTTTCAATATTTATATATTGGGGACCCTGTACTTTTTAATCTTCTTAGAATATTGAATAAAACAATTTTGATTACAATAAATTGTTTAATTTATCTAAAGCAAAAAACATAATAAAGCTGTGCAAACAATTCTGAAAATTTAATGACGATTTCAAAAATTCTCCACGATAAAAAACATTATACTAATTTAATATTATTGTTATTAAATTAAGTAGGTGACTGCCAGGGAATTGGATTTATGTACATTTGCGAAACAGATCCTCTCATACCTGCAAAAATAATAATGGCTATAAAATGCATTTACGAATACAAACAAATGAAAGATAACTGTCAATCACATCTTTTCTTCATATCTATGGTAAGAATGTCTCAATATATCTCATAAATAAGAAAAAAATAAAAAAACCGTCCGTTTTGTTTTTTATCGACGAAAGGTTTCCATCTGGCGTAAAATTTTATGTTTCTGCAATTTCCCGATTACTATAAACTTATTTTTAATATGGTCATGTCGAATGGAAGAAACGAGACGTTTTTCATAGGCACACTAATAAAGATTTTTAAAATATTAAATATTGTATAAGCGAAGCGACAATGAATATCATATATCACGAACTGGAAGCAAAAAGCATAAAACAGAACCGGCTGGAGGTTCTTGCCCACATACCCTAGGCTGTAGCACCTAGCGATTATGATTTTAGAACATGTAGTCCATTAAAGCTTTGTCTACGAACAGGTACTGTTGGTACCAAATTGAGTTGAAACGCTGAAGCCTGAAGCCTACGAAGTCAAGTTATTAGGTATCGCATACTTAGTTCTCCCTGGTTAAGTGGAACCGGCAACGGTTTGTTCCTGCTGGTACGTAGCCAATCTTTGTAAGCTCTTTCGCCTTGTACACGCCGACGCTGCTCCTCAATGGACGCCCGAGCGGCTCGACGCTCTGCTTTAGTTTTCATTGCTAAAATTTTTTGGAGTTTAGAACAAATTTAGTCGCAAAAGGCTCATCACATAAAAATGGAGTACGCCTTCGGTCTCCAAGACGTCGAGAGATGTACGAGAACTGTAAATATTTTATTATGTACTAGCATATACTTATAATTTAAGGTATATAGAAACCATGACAACCGCTGGCGTAACATTGACTAGGGACCGTAGGTATCTACTGTATTCTATTATATCACTAGAAAATTTAGTTTTAGTGGACGCTGGTCTATTCTAAAGAAAATCAGTATTACACCCAGATATAAACCTTGCACACGAACCCACGCTTCTACTTACATTTCATTTCTTCTTCCTTTCTCCTTACCCATGAAGCAAATTTCTCTTCCTTATCGCGCTGGCGCCGATTGCGTTCTTCTTCAACGCGTTCGCTTTCACGAAACTTACGCATTATCGCCTCTGCCTTTTGTCGCTCAACTTGAATCCGCTTCCGTTCTAACCATTTTTTATATGACTCTTCTCGTTGTTCAAGCGTTGTAGTCGGTGCTGTTTGATTCTTTAATTTCTCGAGACGTAATTTCTCCCGTTTCTGTATGTCAAGGTGGTATATGTTCTTTATTCATAATTAAAATACGGCCTTTTAACAGACGGCAAAAATACATATTTTAGTTCAAACAATAATTGTAACTAGTATGGTATAGTTTTTACACGACCGTGAATGCGTTGATTTCGTTGAAGTATGATAATTACTGATGATACTTTTAATTACGATATAAAATTACGCTAATTTTTTCAATTGATTTTCACACTTTCGAAATGATATAACCGAGGCTCTAGAATCTAGATAGTAATCAGCCAAGTATAATAGGTATATTGCATGGGTATAACCGATAAATAATAAAAAAAGAACCATAATTTACGAAATATTCTTACCTCCTGCTCTTTTCGTTCGACCCACTGCCTAAACGCTTCCTGCTTCCTCTTTTCATTTTGCTCCCGTTCCTCCTTAGCTGTTGTAGTTGTCGATAAGGACACAACTGACAACCTGAAAGTATCAGCTCCATCCCCATCTCTGTACGTACGATCGAATCTTGGCGTTTCCTCATCTATATCTTTCCCAATATCTTGTGTAAGCCGACATGACTTTCTTTTAATACTGCTAGAGGACGCACTTGACAGTCGCCCCGTCAAAAACGGCGTAGAGTTGCTCCTATATGAGCTATGAGGGTGCGGAGTGACGTCATCAACGCAGGATGACTCCGTCTGGAGTGACGTCACAGAATGAGATGCTTCTACCGTCTCAATGTAAATAGCCGGATTTATGTAACGCGTTTTACTACGTTTGGATGCTACGGACTCTGAATCGCTGTGGTACTGAATGTTCTCACCAGCTCCGTCGAAGACATGGTAAGAATTATTCGGAGATAAATCGTAGGTGGACTTATGTCTGGCGCTATCGCCAAAATCACCCTTTTGGATGTCACTCGCCATTATTCATTATATTAGGTAAAAATAACTATGTAAAATATTCCACTTTCCAAAAATATAGCGACTTGTCAAGATAATTGACTGTTTGTCAAACGAATTATTTTCGGATTTTATTCCATTGCCAGCCAGGTGGATTTTTTGAAACTTGAGATTATATTCTTTTTTCGGTATGGTATATTTATAAGAAAATATATTTTACAATATTAAAACGCGTATCAAGATTTGAAACTCAAAATATGTCATTGTAAAATTGTGATTAGCGCCTTTACGTATTTTACCTTCGATATTTAGCGCATTTCAGCAAAAAAACAATTATCAGGGCGGTTTGTCAGCGGCTTTGGGGCGGAGCGGGCACGCAGCGAATACGTCGCGAAGACGCCGCGGCTGCGCAGCGAGGACGTCGCGCACGCGTGGCGGATATGAAACGTTTTCGTCGCGGGTTTGCAGCGAGTTAACGACGTACAAAATGGATTTTCAACAATACAAAAAATTGTTCGTAAGACATGTCAAGCTAATATTAAAAACTTGTTTCATATTTGTATGCCACCCAAGAAAACAGAAAACTAGGAAAACATTAGCAAAGGCTTTCTAGAAATGCTGATTATCCTAATTGCATAGGTGCAGTGCAAATATATTAGAATGATAAAGCCGTGTCATAGCGGCGCTTTATATTTTAACTACAAAAAGTATTTATATATGAATTTGTTAGCCGCCTGTGACTCCAACTACAAGTACATATTTGTTGATGTCGGTTCATATGGAAAAAGTTCCGATTCAACTATATTAGACAGAAACTAATTGAGAATTAATATAGAATCAAATCGTTTAAATATCCTACACTTGAAACAAATAACAAACAAAAAAAAACAATCTCGCATTCGTGTCTCGTTACGCACTGAAGTGAGGCGGGGCGAACAGACTAGCGTTTGTACGAGACTGTACAAAATGGCGTCCACGCTTCTATTCGCGGCGGTCTCGCTGCTCGTCCGCAACGAATTCGCTGCGCGCCCGTCCCGCCCCGCATCCGCTCTCAATCCGCTAGTATAAGGCCCTAAGTGTTGCAAAAGTATCCATTCCATTTGGCGAAACCAAAAAAATCTCAGTTGTTTGCTTGTTTTAAATTAGACATCAAATATGATAATAGTATAGAAACTACCCCATAATATATAATGACTCTATGATAGAAACGAAAACAACATAGATGAACAGGCGCCATCTAGTTATTAAAAGTAAAAATAGCGTGAAATGCATTTATTCAATTAAAATCTTAACTATGGAACATGAGTTTTATAAAAATTGAATTGGACTATGTACAAATGAAAGATATTTGACATCTGATAACACAATTTTATTATAATTTACAACGGATAAACGCGTAATTATTATATTGGGCAACCGAGTCTTGTATACCACAATGTATCATCAATCTAGTTTCAATGTTCAAAAAATTTCGAAAAACATTCTCGGAAGTAGCTTCCATTTCGATAAACGTTCCTAGAATATTAAAGTTATCCTAATATTACATAAACAATGGGGTTTTTACAATACTTATCATGTTTTAACGATTAATACTTATATATTGTCAAATGTATCGACTATAACTAAGCAAATTGTTATATACAATTGCCTGTAAAGTAAGGCATCGGTAATACGTTTATAATTCGTAATAGTCCTCTCTTGAAAGTTGTAGATTTTACTATAGCAGTAACTTTCTGTCTAAAACTACGAATCTACGACCCGAAGCGGTTACTAATCGTGTTTAAAGCGAACAAACATGGTAACCAGTCGATAAAAATGACGATATACACCTTTATTGAGTTAAATATCATGATAAATATCGTGTCAATACCTTATTGTACAACTTACGTCGAAACTACTTGGTAAGATGGCTATAGATTTGCATGATCAGCAACAATCTTATTTTCAATCCACTAGAGGCGGAAATATAGATTATTAAATGCTGGTTAATACCATTTAATAATACCAATTAACTAATGTTAATTTAAGTAATCTCATTTGTGGATGTAGTTTATGCAACCTTAACATAAAGGCGGTTTTTTCCTAATTATGTAATTGAGGTTTAGTTGATCAAACTACATATCATGCTCAAATTGATAGACACTCTAATTTTCCTTGTTGTATTTTTGGCGTAAAACAAATCGTATCGACATAGTATCGTAATGAACTAGAATTAGTACTCGTAAATGAATGAATATATGAAGGTAGTAAAATAAATAAATGTATGAAGGTAGTACTAATATTCGTCAAATTTACTTTTGACAGATCAGATAATAAGCTAAGTCTTTTGTGCATAAAAATATCTAAGAGATGAACGGATATTTTAATTCTAAGATCTAGTGAATAAAAAACAAGATAGATTATTTATACGGTAGCCATGTATTGAGATTATTCTAATATAATGTTTCGGCATTCGACGAACGCGGCTTTTTTATTTTTTCCAGGTTTTTGATGACAATGTCGTGTAACGAACAGTATCGGTTGCGAATCTCGCACATCACCAGCCACAATGAGATGTATTCTTTTTCATCTAATTCCTGAAAAACATGTCTTATTATATTAACACATAAAATTACTCTTGCTGGAAGCATTTTCCAGGTAGTCTAGTTCATAATACATATAATAACAAAATGACTGAAATATTGAAACTGTTATTTTTCATTATGAAAATTAAATACAATTTTTAAATATTATGTACTCTGTAAATATACTAAATTTGGTAACTGCATTATCCATCAGAATATATATATATATATATATATATCTCGAGGTGATGGGTATTTAAGCGGTGCTAGGATTTTATACAAATCACTTCAGTAGTTTTAGCTATGAAATTAATATTATAATTATTTGTCTGATGACTCATATATCAATTGCATAGTGAATTACATATTTATTAACAAAATTGGAAAATAAAAATTTGTTTTATAATAGTATACAAATTTTAATAAATCATTAAAAAACATAAATTTTGCTTAACATTCTATACTCTATCATTTATATTTAAACTATATTTTAAATATAAATGATATGGATTCAAAGAAGCTTTCTTGCTATAAACATGTGAAAAATGTTTCACTAGCACTTGTATTTCATTGAATTTAGATTGTAATGAAATAAGAAACAGGTCTCTTCATCACAGCTACAAACTAATGCATTGATGACTTGTTGATGTCAAAACATAATATCTTTTTAATTTATAAAATGGTAACTATACAAACTTACTTCAACAGCTCTTCTATAATCCTCAATATGTGGATATTTGGCAACTTTTGATACAATTTTCGCTCTTGAAATGAAGTATCTGGAGATTTGATCAAAGAATGCCGCAGCTTCCGATTCAACAGACTGAACCTCAGCCAATGTATCTTCTTGTATTGAGACACCAAAATTGTTGCCATCCTCTATTTTAGGAATCATGAATGAAATCCACATTTTTAGCTGGAAAATTAATCAATTTAAATTAATTTATAACTATAGTTATCAATTGTGTCCACAGTCAAGAAATAACATAGTTTATTAACAAATTTAATATGAATCAATATACACATATATTCCTAAAAAAATCAATAGAATAGTTAAAAGTAATTCTAGACTAAAAAAAGAGTTATGAATTTATCTGTAACATAGTAAATTTTAGATGATTTTTTTAAAGTATTTGTTTGGTGACCTCAATAAAGTAAATTGCTCTTATAATATCAATAAGAAATGTCCAACCCGTCACATAAAGGTGAATCATAATTCCGTCTTTTAACATTTCAATTATTCAAGAATGCTTCAGTTTTATTTTCAATATGTTAAAAGATGAATATTGATAAGTATGAGTCGTAAAATCCTTCCAATAACTATATGAAGCAACATATTTTACCTTATAAAGTAAGAGTAGAGTATATTATACTCATATACTAATACTAACCAGATTAGAATCCTCAATAAGCTCTCTAATGTGAGGTTTGACAAGGTGAATAAGGTCACTAAGAGGTTTATTACATGGGACACTTCCATTTGGCAGAGCAAACACCCGTGTGCCCTCTAACGTTGTATTGCTTGACATCTCAGACGAATCTCGTCTAGCTCTTTTAGCATTTGGTTCATTAACTGCTTGTATTGGCGGTGGAACTGGAATGTTTAAATCCTGAAATTGTGAATTGAATTTTTATAAAATTCTATAAGATATACCAACAAAACAATTAATGTTTTAGGTTGGATCTAATCTTGTCTAATAGCAAATTATAAATGAAGGTTCAAAACTTTCAGTTATTTGGTGTAGGTTTACTTTCCGTCTATTTTGAGAAAATTTACATTAGAAATTATGATCCTGCAATATGAATGCTGAATCCTGCATTTAAAATATTAAGTTTTATGAATAAGTTAATTTACCTGATGGACATCTACTAATTCTCTATTCAGGAAGTTAGGTGTTTCTAAAAGCTCATTCAGCTTTACTATCTTTTCTGGAAATCCTTTAATAATAAGGTGCTCTGCCTTCTGTTTAAGTGAATCTTTGTAATCCTGAACCTGAAAATTTTATAGCATTACAAAGCTAATACATCATTGACTTAACTTCAAATTTTTTCAGGTCAACGCCATGTATATTTTTTTTAAACATAATAATATAATGTTAAAGGCTTTGTTATACGTAGGCATGCCATCGCGATCATCCCATGGCCGCACTAGAGGTTAGGTCGTAACTGCACGAATGCACATAACTTGTGAAATACGACTTCTTGAACGAAAAATCAATGTATTATAACGCTATTTTCATTAAAGTATCCATTAGAGATGTTAGGTTTACATCAAGTAAAAATTGTACATTAAAAATCGTAGAGTTAAGTCATGAAATAGGATTTTGTAATATAATAAACAGATTACCTTTTTTGCCACGTCGGTCATGGTGTTAAAATTTTAATTCAACTGAATATAACACTATCCCCTTATATAGTACACCAAAATTGCAAATTAACTTAAACTAAGTTACAAATACTCATGTAGCAAATATCACGATTCAAGAAACAAATTTGTCGTGAAGCGATGAACGATGCTTAATTTGAATGAGTGATCCGTGAACTATAAAATGTAAATGCAGCAGAATAATAAGAAAAAACACGAAGTGAACACACTGATCTTAGAATGGAATACGTACGTTCAGTAATCACAACCAATGACCATATTACTCGTCGATGATGTTGATAAGACGTCAAAAGTGACAAGCACTGTGACAACTAAACCAAAGTAGTTGTAATTAAATCGTTAGAAAATGATTCTATTTATACTCAATAAATAATTAAATTTATTACCACTTGATTAATAACATGATTGGATTCCATCTTACTCTTTGAGAAAAGTCTTAGAAAACGTCGGTGGATATTTCCTGAGCATGAACTGATAGGATTAAGAATATTTTTGTTACTTTAAAATTTCTGGAATGTCATTTTATGTATTGACAATCTTTAGTAGTCACAGGTAATAAAGTAAACTACATGTTATAATAACTGCTCAGCAGGCACAGAATAGGTGCACAGACTACACAACATTCATATTTTCTTTTATTTTATAATCTACGTAAAATTAACAATAATATAATATATACCTTAAAGCCAAATAGAGAGATCTGGCAAGCCTAATTGATGATTCCACCTATAACAAAATTTACTTTAGCTTATACAACTTAGAATAAGAACTTAAGCATATAAACCATATAAAAAGCAAGAGAAATGAAAGAAAAGAAAGGGATCTGCCTATTTCGTTAAATGAATTCGACACCTTATTTATATTCGTGTTCTTGGTCTTCCCACTTATCAAATAAATGTTTTGGTTGCCTATCTAACTTATCTAACTTTTGTACTAAATTAAGTTTTACATTACAAGCTTAAGACATTTTTATAGAATATAAATAAGACTTGCAAAAACACATGTTAAAAAGCAAACGAATAACAAGCTCAACAATCGAATATTCAGCTTGAGTTACATTCGAGAAATGTATATCTTTACTTGTATTCTCGTAGTCGTAGTGTAGTCTGAGACACTATTTAAGTATGAGCCAATTTTGAAATTTCACCCCAGACAAAAAAGGCCCGTAGGAGGCTCCGACATTTCCTAACGGATCCGGATGATCCAATAACAATAGCTAACTTCAACCCAATCCCCTCCCCCACCCGTTCGCTATCAGTAGCCAACCATCCACCCACTTATTATTCTTGCTTTCTAATCGCATTTTAGTGTTTATTGTTTCTCTGTTTGGTGAAATATTACATAAACTACCTATTTAGTCTGTATGTAAAATGGGTAGGTACGAGTATCAATAAAAATAAGTACACAAATAAAATATTTTTTATTTTTACATCTTCAATTTTTTTGCTATCTCTCCAGTTTGTATGACGTCATTAAGCCAGGTTCGCAGATATTTCCGACGACTTGTAACTTCAAATTAAACACCGCCCGCGCGGCAAAGAAAAGTCAAAATCAGATAAGGGTAAAAAACCACCTTCATAGGCGATTGACCACCCCTCGATGACCCAAGCCGAGATCCGAATCTCGCACGTCCTTGCGCTTGTTGCGGGAATACGCCCATTCCGGCCAAGCTACGCTCGCAACAGCCCCTGCTGCTGCTACAGTAGGCAAACAGCGAGATTTCATAAAAAAAAATATATTTTCACTTTATAGATTTGTTAAATGACCACAGACAAGAATAGAACGAGTTTAATACGGTTCCCAGTCCTCACATTCTTTTTAGATTTTGATTGTGATATATTGCTTATGGTACCGGTAATTATTATTCTTTGTTTACTAGGCCTTTATTAGGCCATAAAACTAAAAAAAAAATGTTCTGTGTTAACTGTTAAGACTTAAGACTCATCACTCAACTGAGTACTAACTTGAGACTTCACAGGTCACGTTCACAGTTCACTACTATCTACAACTTACAAGGAAGGTATACACTATACAACATAGTTCGCATTGTATCCGGTGAATAAAAACATGCATGTAAAAACTAAAAACCAAAAGAACCATTTGTAGTGTAGACTAGATAATTAATTTATAATTTTAGAGAAAATGCGCCTCATGCGGAATAGTAGTATTATAAAACTATTATTCTAAATAACCAAACTTGTTTATTTTTTTTAAGACCAGACTACTGTATTTATAACATTACTCCTAACTTTTTTCAAAAAAGCGAAATTATTTTTAGTTCCTAAATTATAACGTGGATCAAAATTAATACAATGGCCTCATTTAAATTCAACTTCAACGGAACAGATGAAGCTGTCGATATGAAAGGTAAATGTTATGAAATATGTATTATTTAAATAATCAGTAGTCACCATGGTTTTCCATTTTTGAATATTTTAGTAAAATTTAACGAAGTCTTATCTAAAAACCTCACAGGTAAGTAATGGTCTTATCCCACCTAAATTTAACATTAACTCAATCATTTCAGAAAATACAGAAATTGAATGGTTGCAATGTGAACAGGTTGAGCTCACCAACCAACATAATAATTTAGAAACTATAGCAAAACAAGCAAGAATGTTTATGTGTGGTGATGTGGAGATAGGTCATGTTTTTACAAACCAGTTGTCTATTGAAATTAGTCAAAGCAAAAAAAATGCTGTGGAGTTAGCTGAAAAAGAACACAGTGATTTAATTACTGGAAAGTATGAAGGTGGTGTATAGTTTTATCTGAAACATTAATAAAACACACATGTATAAATTCAATATTTTTAAGATTTTGCAAAATGATTTTATTATAATTTTCAGGTGGGATAAAAATTTGGGAATGCACTTATGACCTTATTGAGTTTTTAGAGAATAATGATATTAATCTGGATAGTAAACAAATATTAGATTTAGGTTGTGGAACAGGTATTCTGGGCATATATTCCTACCTCAAAAATGCCACAGTCACCTTTCAAGACTATGTAAGTAGTTACTAAATGAGCAGAGAGTGAAAGTAATTACAATAAGTGTAAATAGTATTCCTATGTTTATTAAGTATATCTATATTTTTTCAGAACAAAGAAGTATTGGAAAATATAACAATACCAAATTTATTACTTAACATTGAGGATGAAACTACAAGACAATCTGAAATACAAAAATTTAAATTTTTTTCTGGTGATTGGAAGTCATTTAATGATTTTTTGTCTAATGATGAGAAATATGATGTAATACTTACATCTGAGACAATATATAATCTAAATAACTATGATAAGCTTATCAAACTATTTGAAACAAGATTAAGTAAAAATGGTGTCATTTATGTAGCAGCTAAAACATATTATTTTGGTGTTGGTGGTGGAACAAGACAATTTGAAAAGGCAATAGAAAACTCAGGGACATTAAAATCGGAAATTGTATGGAAAACAACATCTGGAATACAAAGAGAGATAATTAAAATATATAAAATTTAAATTGATTTTTGTTTATAATAAAACATCAATTGAAACATAGTTCTCTATAAAAAATGGAAGACAATATTTTTTATTCTTACACTTAAACAGTAACCTGTTTTTAAACAGGTACACATCTCTTACTCAATATATCTATTGAGTAAAAGAGAGTATACATCATTCATAAATAATTAAGGTGAAAGTCTTTCATAAACCCAGCCATCTTCTCCTTCATGCAAAATCTTGTTATCAGGCACTTCATCATTTTTTGGCTTTCTAAATTTAATTCTATCATGAAGGCGATCTCTTTGACCTTGCCAAAACTCAACAGCTCTTGGACGTATTATGTAACCACCCCTATAATAAATAATAAGAAAGTTATTTATATAATTTGAAGATCCTATCAACAAATATATTGATCAAGCCAACATAACTGTAAATATTTCACTTTTTATACTGAAAATATTAAACTTTCACTCGTGGAGCATCTTTCTATAAATTACATATTTAAATTGATTTCAGGATACCATTTGAATATACAGATGTAGTAATTATTGTTAAGGAATTGTGCTTTTTATTTATATAAATTCAAACTCACCAAAACTCTGGTTTTGGAACTTCTTTATTAGGAATCATATATTTTGCCTCCAGTAAACTTTCTCTCTCACAAAGAATATCTCTTGACTCAATGGGAGTACTCTGATAGCTAGTACAGGCTGCAATCTGACTAGGCACAGGCCGTGAATGGAAATATGTTGTAGATTCCTCTTCAGACAACTTTTCAACATGGCCTTCAATTCTCACAGATCTATTAAGAACTTCCCAGTAAAATGTTGCAGCTACATTTGGATTTTCTTCCTAAGAAGGAATTTAGACAATTTACTATTGCATTTTATATTCATGTATTTCAATTATTATTTTATTTACCATTTCCTTAGCTTTTCTACTTCCATGATTTGTAAAAAACTTGAAACCATCCTTGCCATATCCTTTGCACAACACAAACCTTGCTGATGGGAAGCTATCTCTGAGTAGATACAAATAATTTGTTAGTAGAGAACAGCATACTGCATAATACACATAAATAAGCACTTTCAATAAAACATACTTAGTAGCAGTTGCTAAACACATTGCATTTGGTTCTAGAATTTCTTTTCTAGTACAGGCTTCTTCAAACCATGCTTTAAACTGTCCAAATGGCTCCTTAGATACTAAATGCTTTTCCAAAAATGTTTCATCTTTATCCTTGTATCTAATTCTCATACCTAAACAATTATGCTTAAAGTAAACATTTAATAAAACACTATTTTGACCGGATTGAAGTTATGTATTATTATAACGTGCGTGGTTACAGTCACCGTGACCACGCACGCTGTAAAGCACGCGAAACGTCGGATAAATTTAAAATTATGTTAAATAGTTGTAAATTTATAATAATACATAACTTCAATCCGGTCAAAATAGTGTTTTATTAAATGAATAAAAGTTATGTTAATCAAAGACAATACTATAAAGTAAACATTTATAAAAAAAAATATAAAAGTTTAGGGAGGTATAAGAAATTATAATCTTTTTACTTACCTCCAATATCAATACTCATTTTCCTCAAGTTTTTAGTTTTGCTCAAAAAACAGATAGATCTATAGACACTCATTCAGTGTACACAATCTACGAAAAAGATAAGATAAACAGCGGCATTTTAAGACTTAATTTGATTCTGTAATGACCTCTAAAAATTTATGTAAAGATTTTTCGCAATACATATACTTAAAATGTGAAAATCCAGCACCAATGTATAAATAATATGATAAATCATACAGAAGTAATAATAATTAGCAAGGTAGCAACATAGTAAGTAATAGTAGTTAATGTTAACGTATTAATCTAATAATTGAACTTACAGTAGTAAATCCTAAATAGTGTATACTTTACTGTAGCGCAATGTTTCTATCGTGTCACCTTGTTGGTTGTAACTATGAATTATTACACAATATTGTATAATGTTTTATACACAATTAAGAATTTATTGTAAATATGATCAACTTTTGTCATTAAAGATAAAAGTGTATTATTTTGTTACAACCTGAAGAATTCTGTAATCTGTGAGAGTGTAGACTCAAGAGTCAAGACTGTAGAGTAAATATAAATGATTCGAGAATGTTTAATGCATATAAATATTGGTTGAATGTGTGTTCATTGGCATTTGGCAAGCCCATTGACATATCAATGTGAAATGATAGCTGACATATGACAAATTTTATGTTTCACGTCGACTGTCAAGTCGTCCAAGAAATTTAAGAATAATAATCGTAGTTTACACTTTACTTACTAGTATACTACTGACGACTTTGAATTGTTGATTTCATTTTTAAACACTAATAAAAAAAAATACTTTTATTAAGATCTTGTTCATTGTTGTAGAAATAGTTACTGTAGTAGTAATCATGGAGGCCGAATCGGAAGTAATTAAAGAAAAAATTCATACCGATCCTATTCTAAACGATCCACGATACATAACCTTATTAAGTGTGATATTGCTAGTTGTTACTTTAGGTAAGATATTAATAATTATGCATTACAGTCTATAAAAAACATAATAAACAAAATTTAGTATTTTTACACATACATATAATTTGATAATGATTTGATTTTATAGTAATCTTGTTATTTGAACATGTGGCACTTTCAGTATTTTGGTGGTGTTTTTCGAGACGTCGGGCGCAGCGTAACTCTGTCTTACTTACTGGACTCTCAGATGTTGGCAAAACCCTTTTATTTGTAAGACTTGTTTATTCGCAATACAGACAAACATTTACTTCAATGAAAGCAAATGTTGAAGAGTACATCACATCTAATGTAAGTATAAGGTTTGGACACAAACATACCAAACATAATGTCTACTATATCTGTTTACTTTCGAGTAAAAAATATAATTATTCAATAATCTATCAAAAGTAAGCAGAAAACATGTCAATAATGTAACCCCATAATATTTACCTTTCTTTTATCATCTTCAGCTACCTATTCTAACTTTCAAAAATACCATACGTACATATAATGTTATTTTGACACCATGAAAAAAAACTCTTCAAAGTTTAATGGCTTTTAATGTTAATAAAGTATTTTTTATGTATTATAGAATACATTGAGATTAGTTGATCTTCCTGGGCAAGAGCGACTAAGAAATAAATTCTTTGATCAATTCAAGAACAGTGCAAAGGCTATTGTATATGTAGTTGATTCTGTCACAATACAAAAGGAAATTAGAGATGTTGCAGAGTAAGTAAATCTTTTGGATAATATTTAGCAGTACATGTAAATTTTTAATACTATTACTGTTATTTATAAAAATCAGTCTATTTGTACTCCTTTAACTGCCTGCCTTTTGGGAATTTTTAAGCTTGTTGTATTAGTTTATAAATACCTCATTGGGCAGCTGGAATCACATATGCTCATCAGGTTGCTGAATGCTACTAATTGATGGCCAGTCAATGTGACTTTAAGAACAATGGTTTGTTGAGGACTATAACTGGGCTAAGACCAATTAGAAACTAAGTAAAGTAGATCCACTGTATGAACAAAGAAATAACATAATTTTATAGGGTTTCTTGGTAATTTAAAAAAAAATTACACAGCAACACTTAAACATCCATTTGCATTGACTTATTACTGTCATACAACACAAAAAAAACCCAGAGAAATAAATAAACTACAATGAATGACATATAGCAATACAATCATTTATAAGAACATTTTGTTTTCTTGCAGATATCTTTATACAATTTTAGTGGATCCAGTGATTCAGAGCAACTGTCCCCCTTTACTAATTTTATGCAACAAACAAGATCAGCCAATGGCTAAAGGCAGTCAAGTTATCCGGAGCCTGCTTGAAAAGGAAATGTAAATATTGTTAACATGTAAATTTATTATAAAGTACAACTAATATTCAAGCTTTGAGACAAAATTTCTTATACAAATTAAGACTTGATATATTATCTAGCCAATTTATAGAAAATTTTCTTGGGTAATTCTCCTAACTAGGTTTATGGGCAACTTTTTAATAAAAAGAGTGGTTGAATACATTTTCTTTATCTAATCATAAAGAGTTGTAAGGAAATCATTAATGTGTCGCATTAAATCTGTAAATCGACGGCGTGTGACAGGCACAAAGTCATTACTAACTTGCCTATACATAAAAGTGATGACAGAAACAGAAGCAAAACTCTTAGCCAAGGGTTATAAATAATTTATTTAATCAGATGCGCCACTGGGTCTTGGCATCAGTTTTCTGTCTTGATCTTTTTTCAATTATACTTTTAATTTTTTGGCAATAAAGCAATGCATTTCATTCGCTTCACTGTGTGACCAAGTATTCATTGTGCACATTATCCAAATCAAGGCAGTGCACCAATGGACATGGATATGTGATTGTAATAGGACAACACTGTTCTTAAAAAAATTATGTCTGATCTTAAATAGTAATACTAAAAAAAATTTTTTTCCAGAAACTTAGTACGCGTTACGAAATCAAGTCAACTCCAAGCAACAGATTCATCTCAATCAAGCAACACGTACCTCGGGAAACTTGGCAAAGATTTTGAGTTTTCTCACTTAAGCTGTGCAGTTGAACTTATAGAATGTTCAGCGAGCACTGGGGATGATGACAGTCCCACAGACATCAAACCTCTTCAAGATTGGATCTCACATCTGTAGAAATAGTGCTTTTTATATCTTCCTACGCTTCAAGACTTATTAGGCTATAATATTTACATGTGAAAATCTGCATTTATAACTATTTTTGCAATTATAATATATTTTTATAATAAAATGCGTCTTGTTATTTATATGTTATGTTACACACTAAACCAAGATTTTATATTCACTTTCGGATCTGGAAGTGATATTTAAATCTCAAACAATTCATCTGAATCAATTTACTAGTTAGGTACATTTAATAATAATCAGAAAAATATAGTAGTCTATTAAATGAGTAATAAAGCTCAAATTGTTTTCTTGTCAGTCCATAGTCCACAGTTCACAAGTATTGAAAGGATTCTGTTGTAGGCTTTCGTTAAGCTAAACCCGAAACAACATTAAGCGTTCGAGTCATATATTTTAATGACTGAAATAGTAATCGGCATTAAAAAAAGGCCTAGGGACTTAGTCAAGATGCCTCAACAGTAGTGTATGAAGAAAGTCGAAAACTAAGTTTGTATGAAAATTGCAGTTCATGTCTATAATTAATTACTAATTAAATACTAAAAACTAATTTTCATACTGCATATGTTACATAAGGACACTGTAAGGGCTTAAGGCGGAAACATACTACCAAAACGCGACGCTACACCACGCCATCCGACGCATGTCAGTACTTATCAATCCAATATATTTAATATGGTCAGATGCACATAGACAACACGCCATGTGATCACACGCGGTAACATCCAATCGATTTGGATCGGCGTGTTGTCGTGTTGTTGACGCCAAGCGTCAAACGTTCGAGTTTTTGGCACAAATGTCAATTGTCAGCTAAATGACTTCTGAATTTGCAAGTGTGTCGTGGTGTCGCGTGTTGGTAATGTGCACGATGGACATCGGGTGTCGACACGTTGCGTCGCGTGGCGTTTTAGTAGTATGTTTCCACCTTAAGTTGTAAGGATTAGATTACGTCAAGTCAGATTACTCTCGATGTTTTCGGAAATTGAATTATTATTTTTAATTAAAGCGCATTTAGTTTATATTAAAAGTGGCCTGGAGACTTTTTTAATCACAAATGTATCTTAAAAAATTATTAAGTGAATTTTGTGAAATAAAAACTTACACAAGTTTATGTTGTTAGTTTCTAAAATTTATTGAATAAATATTAGAAAATAACACTCATAATAATTCTTTAAAACAGCATGTTTTACCTGATTCCTGAAATTTCCGACTTATTAAAACCTCTTTGGTATGGGATGCTAGTTGTGTGAACACGTTTGCCCCGCCTCACCTCCCTCGGCAAGCTAAATAGCTGGGGTGGCCGCAGAGCAGGCGGAAAATAATAAACGGCTCAAATATAAGAGTCTTTTCTCCAAAAGATTTATGTTGGCGCCTGGTAGATAGTAACGGTGACCCCAGAGCTACAGAGAACCCCGAATAAGTATCGCAATACAGCGAGGAAATGCTGCCAGCGTTAACACACAAAGGGTGCGACGGGGACCAAACTTTTTAAATTTCTTTGAATTTTCTTTTATTAATTTTTAATTATTTTTATTATTACTGTGTAGGTTAAGAAAATTGTAAATACTGTATATTGGATTGTTATGATTACAAATAAATATGTAAAAATATAATAAAGTGAGAAAAACGTAATAAAAGCTTAACCATATGCATTTAATAAGCCAAGCGAGTCGCCATCTCGATGCGAAGTATTTGTAAATTGTTTTAACAATTGGCAACGTTTTCGATCTAAATATGTATATTATTTTTAAATGAATCAATAGTGCATAAAAAAATATATTTTTCACATCAAAATCAATATTCATTTTCCCTTTGCCTTTAACCATATACTTTTCAATCTGTCATAAAACATATTTTAAAACAAAAAGTATTTCTTTATTATAACTTTAAATTGATAATTCTAAAAAGGGTTTCGGTATTCCAGGTGAACATTGACCCTACATTATTACAATGATAAAATAATTATGACGGCATGATTCTGCATATTTTTGAGTTCATTGCAAATACTAATTGTTACGTTTGCATATTCATATTTCGTCTATTGATAGTTTTGATTTATGGATTGTCAATATATAAAGATAAAAAGGGTTAATATAAGGGGAAAAATTAATAAAGAATTTAGTCTTTTGTGTCGATGTATTTGGGTGCAAGGTGCATTAATGCATATTCATGATTTAGATCATTAACTATACAAAATGTACTCTCGATTAATCGGCAACTTGAGTGTTCTTTTTTCGTTCTTCTTTTAAAATTCTATTAAATAACTCTGAGTTTGTGAGTCTAATAGCCTCATGAAAATTTTATTTAAGATGCAAAAATTTGAACAAAGATTGGCTGTGAAGACAAACTTTGTACCTTAAGAAAAACCTACGGGCGTTTGCAGGTTCGGGGAGCTATTGACGTCACAAGACAGCAGGTGAATATCCTGTTCATAATTCCCACGTAAAAGGCTTACGTAGTAGCCTCCCACGGTCATCTAATTCATCGGTCCATTTCATTCACGCGATGACAATAGCCTGAGGTGCATTGAGTGAGTACAATGAGTGTCAGTGTCATACTCTGCAAGATTTCAGTGCCATTGGTTATGTTAACTAGATTTTTTTAAAATTTATTTTAATACGCTTGCGTGAGAATCCTTCTTTAACATATGTTATGTATCTGGGTTTCAAAGAAATGTCCTATTTGCTCTTATTTCCAAATATACATTTCATTTTGACGAAGTTTGGTATACCTAGAAAAAATTATAACCCGTTGCAATTACTAATAACTTGTGCTTTTTGGTCTATTAATTATATATAATATTTGAGACTATCCGCCTTATATATACTATTATGATATATTATGATTTGAACAAATAATTAAACATGACATATTTTGTTGTTTTGAATTCTTTTTAAGACTTGAGTTTTTGAGTTCCTATCCACTACGAGCTATTGGATATATGTATTTTAAACCTTCGGTATTATTAACTAGCACATAATTTTATTTGCTGTTCTATAATTTATAGAAAATAATTAACTTAAATACAAGTTTTCTGTAATAGTAAAATCTTATAAAGTATTTTAGGCTGGCTTTACTTATAAAAATCTTTTTACACAACTCTTTGTTTTTAAAACATTTACAAATTATGTATTGAAAATCTTATCAAACCGGATCGATCAAATGTCACATATTAGCAATAAACATAAATATATGGTTCATTTGTTTGGAACCGATAGTGGACTGTGTGTGGTCGGTTACGTGAATTTCAATATTTATCAACAAATGAAAACGTATTACTTCTGATATGGAACATGCAATCCCAATATATTGAATATTCATTCAATAATTCGCTGTGGTTTCTTTTGTACATGCATATCGCGTTATACAACCATAAAGCGGTTCATATTTTTTTTATAAACAATACTAAATGTTTTAGTTTCCGACTTCCGTAATACATGGTTATAATAAACTCAAAATAACTTTATTCATATAGGTAATCAAGTACACTTATGAACATCAACAGAAAACATGTTAAATTGATTCTAAATTTACTTTAGAAGAACTGGCAAGAAACTCACCGCCACTCTTTTTAATCGCCAAGTTTTGAGTCATACAAATTGTTTGAACTCGAGCAAATCAATCACAAGGATTAGGATCATTTAAATATTCGTCAAATTTATAAAAAGTTTTATTGATTAATTTACGTTTAACGAGTAAATTAGTAAGTTTTGAATTTATTCAGTGATAATTCTCTCATTTCGAAAACTTTTAACTGTATATAAATATGTAAGTAATAAAAATTACATCTGCCCTAAAATTAATAATTAATTTAATTTAGTTATTTCAATAAATAGAGAGTGTCAGTCCTGATTAGCCTGAAACAATACGTAATTGTTTTACCGGGAAGTGGACCTACGATATCCGAAATATGTGCGGTAAAACCCTGGGCATTTGTAATTTTTTTTTGGTTTATTGTAAATACCGAGGCTGTATTGCGTTCTAACAACCAGTGGACTAAGAAAGCGTATTGTAATAAATGAAGATATTTTAAATATCTCATAAACATGAATTTTCCAGAGGCTCGTTAAGGGTGCGCAATTAAACGATTATTTCGAATTAAGCGTGGCGGTCTGAAGCAAGTCAGTGCTGTGAGTGCGGCCTCAGGGCCTTTGTCGGCGCATGAGTGCCTTGTTGACATTTTGTAGGGCAAATCTTCATTCCGTAGCCAGCGCGGCTCCTTTTATCTCAACCACCTATTATCATTTATTTGATGGATGCTACATGGGCTTAATAAATTGCTTGTAAGCAGGTAAATAAAAATAATTCCGACTTGATGTGTTAAACGCAATGAGAGCCCGAGGGGTTTTTATTTGTAATTCTGCTTTACCAAAATTATTAACGATCGATCGAAGCGAAAGCCATTATAAGTTTCTATTTTTAAATATCGTAAAAAATTATTAAATTATTAAAGAGGAACTTGAAAGGCTAATTAAGAATGTTATTACCTCGAAACCTGGACAAGATATATTTTACAATACTTCACTTGGATTCTGGGCTTGGTACTTTTATATACACGCCTACTCTTGACCTCGAAATGGTATTAACAAGATACTTATTGGTGGAGTTGTGAAGGTTCGGCTTGCCATCTTTTTTGTTTTTTGCGCTTGCAATACAACTTTTTACAGATACACTAATTACACGTTTTACGAGATTTAAGATATCGCACAGAGAGTACCTACGCTTTACGCAAGTCCTACATATTTAAATAAAATGCACATAAACCCAATTTCTATACCAAAACAAAACTTAAGTGATGTTCAGCAATTAGTCAATCAACAATCAACAACTGTTTCTAATAAATGCGAAATTATTAACAGAGTTAAAATATTTCGCATTTATATTAAAGTATGTTGTTTTATATGCAATGGCATAGCGATGATATGTGTACGAGCCAAAGCGGTACATTTTGCTCACTCAGAATTTCTTAGTTTTATTAGCGTGGCGATTACCTA